TGATGTTGATATCTGCAAAGGTAGGATGTGATGTTGATATCTGCAAAGGTAGGATGTGATGTTTATATCTGCAAAGGTAGGATGTGATGTTGATATCTGCAAAGGTAGAATGTGATGTTTATATCTGCAAAGGTAGGATGTGATGTTGATATCTGCAAAGGTAGGATGTGATGTTTATATCTGCAAAGGTAGGATGTGATGTTTATATCTGCAAAGGTAGGATGTGATGTTTATATCTGCAAAGGTAGGATGAGATGTTGATATCTGCAAAGGTAGGATGTGATGTTTATATCTGCAAAGGTAGGATGTGATGTTTATATCTGCAAAGGTAGGATGTGATGTTGATATCTGCAAAGGTAGGATGTGATGTTGATATCTGCAAAGGTAGGATGTGATGTTGATATCTGCAAAGGTAGGATGTGATGTTGATATCTGCAAAGGTAGGATGTGATGTTTATATCTGCAAAGGTAGGATGTGATGTTTATATCTGCAAAGGTAGGATGTGATGTTTATATCTGCAAAGGTAGGATGTGATGTTTATATCAGCATGCCAAATTGTTTGTCTTATCCAATGACTCACTCAGATTAGGATGAAATAAAATCTGTTTTAGCTATCTCATTTCCACCTTTCCCGAATGTCTTGCTCCATTTTGGATTTTGTGGAACGACTTGATATTGATAGATTAGAAACATGCATATGGAACCATTACAAACTACTTCCAGTTGTAGAGAGGTATTAAAGATCAACAACCATCAGGAACTATATTTAGCCAGCCATTGCAGTACAATTTAGCGCTACTAGACAAAAACTGTAATGACATAATTAAAACATTCAGGGAACTTGAAAATTCCTCAGTCAAAGCTGGTCTTGATGTAAATGAGGTGAATACAAAATATATGATAATGTCACGAAACACTCACGCTGATGACAACATCACTATAGACAACCACAAATTTGAGAGAGTGGCTACATTCAAATATGTAGGGGCAACTATAAACGAGCACAATGATATAATGTCTGAGGTGAAAGAAAGGATAATAGCAGAAAACTGTTCCTATTTCAGTCTAAAAAAGCTACTGGGAAGCAAAAACCTCTCAAGGGGAACAAAGAAGACCATTTACACCACTATCATAAGACCGGTTGTAAATTACTTGGACCCATACTAGAAAAGCAGAGAACCTGCTCAATACTTGTGAGAGGAAAATCCTCCGAAAAAAATGTGTTCCAGTGATAAAAACTGATGTCTTGACAATCCGTACAAACCAAGAGCTATATCAATTGTACAACGATCCACCCATAGTCCAAACACTAAAAAACGGCAGACTGCGCTGGGAAGGACATATTGACAGGATGACCAAATGTAGAGCAGCAAAAGTGATATAATGGCAGAAACCTAGTGGCAGACGACTCACCGGTCGCCCAAGGCTGAGATGAATCGATGATGTAGAGAACCATTCAATTACACCAATTGTATGTGTCTAATTAATTTTCTTGAAAGCTTTATTGCAGTCCAACATTCTTATTATTAGTTAAATAGCACTCACTTAGCCTGACATTCTATAAAAATTAGTGAATTTACAAATTTACCAATATTTTTGTCAGTTTTCTTATCTTTTTTATTGTAGATATAGACCAGGCCTGCACAAATCAAAATGTCAGGCGGGCCGTAAAACTTTATGAAAAAATTGTGCGGGCCAAAAGAAAATAGGACATGGGGAAAATCTATTAAGAAAGTAATACGAACAAAGAATATTTCGTGGGCTTCAAAGTGGGTGCTGGCAGGCCGCATGCGGCTCACGGGGCGTATGCCGTGCAGGCCTGATATAGACAATGAAATGTGTATATAACATTACGTATTAATTCAACTTAATTGTTTTTTTATTTTTGCTGGCATCCGTCTGTCACATGGTGACAATCAATGTTCCCTTGAAGCTGCGTGGCCGCGCAGCTATCTCACCTACGCCGTGCAGCAGTTTTGAGTATCCGCGCAGCAAATTTTCATGCAAGTGTATGTTTGTATTTGTGGGATGTAAAATTTTGCACACAAAAAACTCTATGCTGTAAAACTTTGCACACAAATGTGTGATTTTGCACACAAACCAGCAAACCTTAGAGGGAACATTGTTGACGATCATGTGGAATTTGCAGGACAAAATCCACAAGGCCTGGGAATATTCGTCTAGGATTATAAGCTGGTTCCCAACAACAAATCGCCTCCCTCCATGCCGCTGGATAACCTAATGGATACCATCATGTGGATGATACAGCTTGGCACCACGGGCGTCACAGGAGTTGTCAGAATGTTTAATTGTACCAATCAAATACATTTACGGGACTCCATCCCCGAGTTTGAATTCAGAGTTTCCTTCTCTTAGCTGTGTTAACATCCAAGGTTAACGAGTCTCATCAACACGTGGTGCTGGTCATGTTTTTAAAATCCAGACCATCAACTTGAGATTTGCTCAGTTTATACCACTCGGCCAACCAGCACCCAACTTAATTGTATTTAGTTAAATTCAAAGTTATATAAACATCATCATCATCATCAGTGGCGCAACAGCCCATGTAGGGCCCTGGCCTGCTCCAACACATCCTTCCATTCAGAACCATACATGGGTTCCCCACTCCATGCAGAAACACCCAACTGGTGTTAGTCGATGTTTTTTGTAGTGATGAAGGCATTAGCAGAAACTTTTACATTTGTATTCTGTATGATCATTATTAGAGTTGAACGTATATTGTTTTATTTACACAAATTGTTTGTGTCTGATTAATCTGAGTGCTACATTGTTTAGATATTGAAAATTCATTCATTTTCAGGACAAATACTTTTTCTTCATTTTGTATTCTTTTGTGAATTTTACCAGAGTGCTCTACAGAGTATTAGCAATATCCGATCTGTTGCCTCATTGACAATAGAAGATGAGTTTTATGAACAATATGCCAGTAGCCTGGAGAAATCTAATCACATCATGAATGGCTACCTTCTTAGTGCTGGAATCTGCTATGGGTTTTTCACATCCATTCCTTATATTGTGAATTGCGCCTGTTACATTGTTGGAGGAATGTTGGTTGAAACTCAACAACTGGAGTTTTATAATATGTTAAGGTATACATTTTCGTTAAACTCCATAGATATTAATTGAACACATTTTTCTATTAAGTAATATTTAACAACTTGTTTTAAAAAAACATATTTCGTCACCACTGCTCTTCATTATTTTCCAAACATCAGACTTAGACATCAGACTTAGACATCAGACTTAGACATCAGACTTAGACATCAGACTTAGACATCAGACTTAGACATCAGACTTAGACATCAGACTTAGACATCAAACTTAAGCTAAAATTGTGCTCAACTTCTGACTCATTGGAGTAGCTAGAATTTGTGATGCCAGGGCAATGCTTGACTTTGCCATCATTAATTTTTAAATTAATACATTTCATACCAAATACAAATTTAGCTATTTAAAGTAAATAAATTATGTCAAAAAGGCCATGGCAGATCACTTCCCTCATCACTCCTCTTCCTAAACCAATGTTGAGACCTCTCAATTTCTGTTTTCTTAAGTTTAGTTTTCATTTCTTTGAAAATTCTAACTTATTAAATCAATATTCAACCAACTGTATGTAGTTATCAAAGATCAAGATTTTGTATCATTAGTTGAAGAATATGTTGATGTGTGGCTAGCATAAATGATAACACATCTCTAGTTAAAATGTTCTGATTTTTTCCCCATCAGATCTTTTACCTGCGTGACGGTTAGTGCCATTTCAATGTTCCGTGTACTCATCCTTCTGCCAGACACCACGGCTGCCAAGATTTCAGCAAATAAAATATTTACTTTAATAGACGAGGCTCCAACTCTTGAGGAATGTACAGGCGGTACCTTAACTATAGATGAGGTAAATCTGACAGGAAAATTATAGGACTGAAGTATGAAAATTAATTTGGAACTTAGGAAGTTTTTACCATGGCGGCTTTTTAATTTTTTTTTTTTAAATACTCATTAAATTGTCTCTTCTTTCTTTTAGGAAGAATTTAAAAGTTCTGTGCATTTTTCTGGGGTCCACTTTCACTATCCTATGCGGCCAGAACAATCAGTCCTAAATGGCCTTGACCTTCAAGTTAGCCCGGGGAAAACATTGGCTTTGGTTGGTGAGAGCGGCTGTGGTAAAAGTACAACAATGCAACTCTTGGAGAGATTTTATGATTGTCAACAAGGAAATATTGTAAGTTTACCTGTCTGAAATTATTTTAAAGAACTGAAAATTATCTCTTTACATATACACAATACACATATATCTATAGATAGATAGACAGACAGATAGCTAGAGAGATAGAGACAGAGAGACAGACAGATAGAGAGAGAGATAGATAGCTAGAGAGATAGAGAGACAGACAGGGTGGGTGGGTGGATGGATGGATGGATGGCTATGATTGCAGAAGGGCTCTGTTTTGGAATTTTTTTGTTTCTTGATCATGTATAATGATTAATGAACTGAATGAATACCATTCTCACACATGCAGGTTAAGCAAATTGGCTCAATAATTTGGAGCAGTGACAAAAAATAGGAATTTGTTATACCTACTATATTTTTTTTACAAAATAGCTGCTTTTTAAATTGTTTAGCTGGTTTGAAACCCTTTAAGCTTGGGTTGTTGTTTTTTCCCTCATAATGAAGTATATTGATTGTGTTCTTTGGCCAAATAATATACTGCCAGCTCAAATTTTACGAAGCATATTGATTATGTTCTTAGGCCACATAATAAACTGCTAGTTTATATTTTACTAAACTAATTATCAACAGCTGTTAGATGATAAATATGACATCAAGGACTTGAACATTCCATGGTTGCGTCTTCAAATTGGCCTCGTATCCCAAGAACCAGTTCTGTTTGATAGAAGTGTCTCTGAGAATATTGCTTATGGTGACAACTCAAGACATGTTAATATGGAGGAGATTATTCAGGCAGCTCGTGCTGCCAACATTCACAATTTTGTAGAGGCCTTGCCTTGTGTAAGTCTAGATTTATCCTTAAGCAGTATTTAGCATTTTAAAATACATTTTAAACTCTATTATTGTTACTTTAAAATTGTCCCTTGAATATTATTTAGATTTTTACTAGTTGGAACATATTAAAAATGCCTGACATTTTAATAAATGTTTAATTAAATAGTTAACATTATTTTCCAGAAATGACCTAGAGTTACAACAAGGGAAGAAGATCAAGTGCTTCTAAAAATGATGAAGTTCAATTCAATAGTTGTTTTGTTTTAAAAATGTTATTATTGTTGACTGAGCAAAAAGTTGTTTTTTTTATTTGCATTGATAGCAGGTAATTTTATATGACACTTCAATATCTGTATGCCCTCTACTGAAAGCTTGATGAATATGTCCATGACCAAAGACAGGTGTCTGGAAAATATTCTTTCACTTAATCAAATAATGGCCCCTGAGTTTTGTTGACAGTCTAGGCAAATGCAATAATTACTGGAAATTGTCCTCATTTCATTCTGAAATTGACAAATCCTTTCTCTTCGCTCTAACTCTTGGTCAGGTTAAGAAATGCAAACTTCTTCTTTTCTTGTTGTTGGCTGCAGTTAATTCCCTCTTTGATGCAATTTTGTTTGAGAATCTTTAACTAACTAAACAAATATATGAATCTATCAAAATAAAACAAACAAATATTTTTTTTTATTTTAAGAAGTGCATAAATAATTCCTTGCAATAATACAACTTTGTATAAAAGATAAACATCCAATCCACAGAATCCACTTTTTCTCATTTGAGAGGGTTTTTATCAAATAGGCTTAAACCACATAAAAGGTTGCATTTTTTTAAACTATTTCAGAAGATTTTGTGACGCACATGAAACAAGGTCTTCCCTCATGGCATTAAATTAAATTCTTGCTAGATTCATACATTTAAAAAAACTATTTTACTAGTTGCAAAATTCTATATGATAATATATTACCAAATCATACGCCATATTTGAAAATGTATCTTCATAGTTCTCATTAGCTGAAAATGTATGTGCAATTGTTTTGTTATAGAATTGTCAGAAGTAGGAATCAAGCGCAAATTCAAATTTCAATGGTCGCAAACAGAGACCTAATAATTTTAATTTTAGCCAAGGTTGGTTAGCCGTCCTAGATCAAACTGTGATAAGTAAAAACATTTAAAATATTGATAAATTTATCTTTAGGGTTATGAAACAAATGTTGGAAGCAAGGGGACACAACTTAGTGGTGGCCAGAAACAGAGAATAGCAATAGCAAGGGCACTTGTTAGAAAACCAAAAATTTTATTACTGGATGAGGCAACATCAGCATTGGACATCGAGAGTGAAAAGGTAAGGAAAGGAATTTCAATATTGAGGCAAAATTTCAAAAGAACTTCCTGTATTATTAAGTAGTACTGAAAATGTTCTTAACTTGTCCATATTTTTGAGATTTTGGCTTTGAAGGATTAATGAACGAAGAAACATGTGTATAACTAATTTTCAAATTTAAATAAATTTAGAATTTAAATGAATAAAACTTTTTTTTAAATCTATGACTCTTGAAATAATTGTAGAATTTAAAAAAAATTTTAATGAAATTTTCATTTTTCTTTCAACTTTTAGAATATTCACTTTGCAAAAGGCTCTTCATGGTTATTTAAATATTTTTTTTTTTTCAATTAAATATCAGGTAGTACAAGAGGCTTTGGACAAGGCAAGAAAAGGTCGCACCTGTATCATTATAGCTCACAGATTAAGTACAATCAAAGCTGCTGACACCATTGCTGTGTTAAAGAAAGGTGTCCTCCATGAAACTGGAACACACAGACAACTCATGGCCAAACGAGGTCTATATTACCAGCTACAGATGAACCAGACTGGTTAAAGTTAATGCATACATGCCAACTAGTATAGTTTATCTGTACTTTGAATTAGTTTTTGGTATTTTCAAAGTTGTAATGCCGTTCAGGATTTAAGATGGTTTTTCAAGGATTTCGAAGATTTTTTTTTTTTTAATTTTTTCGCAAGGTAGCTATGACAGTACAGGAATCCTAAAGACAGTAGCTACCTTGAGTAATAAAACATATTACACAACCTTTGATTTAATAATATTAGATTAAATAATTAAATTTATTTAACGTCACTAACAATGACTAGCTTTATTACTAATTAATGTCTACTGGTATTAATATTATAACGGCATGGCTTGACTTAACAAGTTAAAATTTTCTGTAACTAAAGCGGGTATGATTTTCTTCCCTGTATATTATATTATAAGTAGGCAAATAATTTACTCAAGGCGGACATCAATAAGAATTATGTTTTATAAATTGTTTTAATTATTTTTTTTTTTACCCCAGCTGGAAACTTCCAATTAAGTTAATGAACCTAATTATTTATTTTAAAAGAAATTCATGCATGCTACCATGGGGGAGGGGGAGTTTCTTCAGCTAACTAAGCGGCTGATAGATGATCGACAAAAAAATATGCTTCAAATTTACATACAACTACAAATTCCCATGTATGTGTGAGTAGAAAGAAAATCTTTAAAGGGTCATCAGAGAGGTAGAAGATATGTTTTATTCTTTTCAAGAGTCCACTTTTGCAACTGAAGAAGATTTTCTGGTGTCATTATCCAAACTAACCACTTTCTATGATGAGTTATCTGAAAGTGAACTTTCAGTTGAAATATAGTTCGGCTGTTGAAATCAAACATGACCATTATAATTATGGAATCATATTCGGGCTAGATCTGACTTTTGCTGTGGGGTGCAGATGGCTGATGAGACCGATTCTGGCACGCAATATTCTTGTGCAGTAACTGCAGGGGATTGATGGGACATCTCAAGGTGGCTTTTCTGGCATGTCGTTTGTGTGTTGCGGCCGTTGTTTTTAGGCTTTTTGTATGGAACCTTGATGTAAAAAAACGAACGCCACGATACTCAATGCTTTGCCGATTCTTCCCAAGTGTCCAGATTTAAATCAAACACCTTTAAAGCATTTCTTCTGCCAACTAACAAACCACTTTCCTTTCCATACTTGAGCTTGCCATAAAATATTTTTTTAGGCAAGTGGTTTTCTGACATTCTCATATCATGTCCCAGCCATCAATTCTCACAACATGTCCCGGCAGCAATTCTCATAACATGTCCCTGGCAGCAATTCTCATAACATGTCTAAGCCAGCAAAGCTGGACTGCACTAAAATGGTATTGATGCAGGGGTGACCTGTCTGAGCAAGTACCTCTGTGTCTAGGACCCTATCCTGCTATTGATGTTGAGGATTTTTCTGAGGCGTGTCGTATGAAATGCTGTGAGACATCATAGAGCCTAAGGTATCATCTCGACAAAGCCAAATATTGGTCAATATTTTGACATTCGTAGCTGAATATTGAATTTCCTAGAATTTCTCCCAATACTCTCATTCTCACTATAGGTTTGTCTGTGGCTTTTTGTGAGAAGACCTTTTTAAAACTGAAAGATTTTAAAAACTAATAGCGTTTTACCTTTGAACTTTTTTCAAGACTTTTTGATCTAGCGATTGTCAATTGATAAGGTGAAAAATATCCACTTTGATGAATTGATTGACAAGTTCAGGAGAGTAAATTTGAATTGTAAAGTATCTGTAATGGTTTTTGATTCACTTGACAAAGATATCAATTTGAAAAGGTGGAGTGGGAGAAAAATAAAGATTTTTCATCACGTTAGTCCTTGTTATTGTTGTTATTTATCATTTCACTATGTGCATTGAGAGTAGATCATTAGATCTATACAGCATTTAGTGGGTTGTTATTTATCATGTCACTATGTGCATTGAGAGTAGATCATTAGATCTATACAGCATTTAGTGGGTTGTTGTTTATCATTTCACTGTGTGCATTGAGAGTAGATCATTAGATCTATACAGCATTTAGTGGGTTGTTGTTTATCATGTCACTATGTGCATTGAGAGTAGATCATTAGATCTATACAGCATTTAGTAGGTTGTTATTTTAATATTACTTTTAATGATGTATGGCCCATGAAAGGTTTAATCGACGTCAAGGTGGCCTGTGGGCCGTTGGGCTTGACTTCTACAGCCATAAGCGATTCTGTAGTACTTGGCGGTTAAAACTGGTTAAGAATTACTAAGTGTAGATCAAGGGTATTGATCATTCTGGATCCTCATTTGAAGACAAAGAATAGCAATCACTATCCTCTTTTGCACATCTTAAATTCTTCTGGTTACATTTAATAGAAAAGCCACAGAAATGAATAATGTAAATTTTGTGCACATAATACTATTCAATTTTTATTCATTCCTTCTGAATTGAACACATTATTAAAAAAGTAATAAAGAAGATTTTTTTTCTCTACTGTTTTTCATGCTGTTGTACAGTTGTTTTTTTTTGTGTTTATTTATGTAGCTAAACAAAGGGAAAAGTATCTTTGATAACAAGTCACATAAGAAGAAGGAAACAATAAAAACTTGAATTTTTAAAGCAAAAATAAAATTTGGAGTTTACATCCCAGCATCTTCATCACAAAGTGATTGATGCAACAATACCCAACTAATGGTTATTCTAGCTTCACACTATTTAACTACCTGCCTTACATAGACACCACATGGGCAACTGTTTAATTTCATATCCTTAACCAATTATTTTATTTGCCCTTAGGATACTTGATGTTGGGTCCACAAGGTTATTTAATCATAGTTGCTGTCTTACTTTATCATCTGACATGAACATTGCTAATAACAAGAATGTTCTTATTATGAGAAGTGTGAATACACCATTTCAGAGATCAGGAGGTTCTGGGCCTGAGCACTTTTAGGCCATTGACACTGAATAATAATATTTTAAATGATATATTTAATATATTTTACATACAAAATACACAAAATTGAGCTTATGAAGACTACATATTTAGTTAACGTCCATCCAGATAATGTGTTGTTAATGCCCCTAAGGAGAACGTGTTAAGTGTATGCCCATGCAGAAAAATTTGTCCTAAATGACTTTATGAACATAGGTTTAGCACATTTCTAAAGATATCCCATTATTCTCAGTGCATCATCAACCATAGTGTTTTCTTTATTCACCAACATCCATTTACACACATCTTTAGTCTCAAATGTATACTTGGGTTATTTTTATTCTCACTGTTTCACATGGTTAGTTGGTGTGGACTTGTAACCTTGAACAACCTTGCACATTTGTCTATCCCATTTTTTTCATTGGTGGGTAACCCTCCCCCTTTTTCTCCTTGTGGTCCCTACATCACACATCCATGTCAAGGCAGTTCTGTGACTGTTTCAATGGTGTGTAGCAATGAATTAAATTGCACCTCAAATTAAAACACAAATAACATTTTCCAATGAATTCATTTGACACACAATTTACATCCTAATGTATAAATTTAAAAAACAAAATGAAAATTATTGAAGCATTTTTGAAATAGCCTGTGTGAAAATTTACTGTGTATTATCTTTATAGCAATGAAGATTTAAATTTAACTTGAACATTTGGTGAGTCTTAATGTACATAATTAATGTATTTTTGTTTGACACCACACATGAACCATGTTACACCCATAAGATCTGCAGTCTTTAATACAGATGACCATAAGGCCTAACTAAACTCAACACTATTTGGTTACCAGGTACATTTTAGTTGTAGATACCAATAGTTAAAAAGACACTTTTCAATGCTATTTGAAACTCTACAGCCTGAGTTAATAAAACGATACAATGGTTGAATCTAACATGCAGTGAGTCTCACAAATATGGATAAGTAATTTGAAAATTATGTGTAGCCCTGTCCAATTATTAATTTTATGTTTAAATTTTTAACAATTTAATTTCAATGATGAGGCAATTTTGAACTGACTGGTGCCACTAGCTTATGAAATGGTTTAGTTTAAAAGTATATCAATCAATAATTCATAGTAATTTTAAAGGAAACGATAAAATATAAAAATGCAAATAATACATATTTATTATTCAAGGCTAACAAAAGTAACAAATACTTATTTCACCATGACAGACTTTTACCGTCATAATTTGAGATTCTTTTCTTATTGAATTTGTACTCCTTTTTTAAATAAATTAATCAAACTGTTTTAAAATCCAATCTAAGACATATTTGGAGTTTTAGTTACCATTCATATGTTACTAATTTGACTTACGGTAAAACAGAAATATACAGTATTTACTAACAGACTTTAAGAAACATCAATACCAATACAAGCTCACTGTTACAAACCCTGTTCTACCCGAAGGTTCGATGGATTCGTTCTGTCTAGGGGTTTAATTATATTCACCTCAAAAACCATAAATTATTAATATTAAAATACAGTATCTTTATTAACTAA